TGAAGATTCGGGGCAAGAGTTGGGGAACTTATTGAAATATCCAAAACAGAAAAGGAATGGGATCGAGAATTAAGATATGTTCCTTCGCCGGTATTCAGGACAACTAAATTAAACTGCTGGATTAAATCCTCTATCAGCTTTCCCCCCAAGTCGGTTGAGGAGGAACCCCAGAGACAGTTATGAGCATTAAAATCACCAACTAACAGAAAAGGTAGTGGTAGCTGTCGTATTAACGCGGTGAGATCATTTAACATCCACGAGCGGTCTGGTAGGTAAATGTTGCATACTGTGAATTTTAATGGCTGGAATACAGTTACAGCAATCGCTTGAAGTTCTGTTACAAGATTAACTGTTTTGTGTGGGTACGACTCTTTAATGAAAATTGCAGTTCCTCCGTGAGCGCGGGCTTGAGGATTAATGTCTTTTCTGTAAATACTATATCCTTTTAAGTTAAAAAGTTCATTTGGTTTAAATCGTGTTTCTTGTAAACAAATACAGATGGGGTTTGATCTGTTCAATAATAATTGTAATTCTGGTAAATGTTTCTTACAACCGTTAATGTTCAGTTGAATTAAACTCTCCATTTTTATACTATTAAATAAAATGTACAAATGTAAATTACAGTGTAAAAATTGAGTCAAACAGTACAAATATTATATCACAGATTTATCAATACACATATATCACAGATTCGGATCGATATCACAGTCAAATAAATCACAGTAATTAAGTAACTGGTCTATCGTTTCGTTCTTTTTCACCACTATGTGTTACTTGGTCTAACGTGACCATGTCTTCTTTTGGTTTTCGGGGTTTTCCCTTTGGCCACCCTGGTTTCTTCTTGGGTTCTTTTCTTTTATTAGGGTTAATAAATTCTGAATCCATTGTCCCTTCATCCAAAGACAAGGGAGAAATTGGGGCTGGCCTTTTTTTACTCGCTATTACATCAACTTCCATTTCACTTTCGGTGTCGTTCACCTTCACCATTTCTTCTACTGTTTCTTTTGTAATTTTTCTTACGTACTCCTTAATCGATTGTTTTAGTTCTCCCATCTCCTTTTTTATTACATTATGTATTTCCGGTAGGAGCAGTTTCGGTACTTGTTTTAACATATCTGAATGGGATGTTTGATTTTGGGCACTTTCTGCATATGTTTGTGAAGACGTAACCACAGAAGATTGTGCCATAGATCTAGCTTCAAAGAAACTAACGTTATGTATTACCTTGATTTCCTGTATTTTTTTCTCGAATTTATATACAGAACAATTCTTTGATTTTGATAAATGTGTTTCACCACAGTTTACACATGTAACTTCATCTAAGCATGGTAAATCACCATGGGTAGCCTTTCCGCATTTACAAATTTCTACATTTTTACATTTCTGTGATGAGTGTCCAAATTTCTGACATTTGAAACATCGCATAGGCTCTGGTATATACGGTCTAACTGGTAATTCATACATTGCAGCTTTAACACTTTTTGGAAGCTGATGTCTTTCAAAGGTAAGTATCAGCATAGGGCTGTCAATGAGTTCTCCATTCTTGTTAACCTTAATTCTTTTAACATGAACGACTTTTTCGGATCGCAAACCTTCTTCTATTTCTTCAAGTGAGGCATTCAAAAGATCAGTACAATATACTATTCCTTTACATGTATTCAATGTTGTATGAGGCGTTACCTCTACATCGATATCTGCAATTCTGTTCATATTTAGCAGAGTTTCTGATTGCTTCTTCGATTTGGATTCAATTAATAGCCCTTCCCTTACTTTATTTATTTTCTTAGTTTCACCAGCTATACCATATGTTTTTCTTACAAGATCCAATTACAGACATGAAGTCTGTCAAAGTATAAAGACGAACCTGATTTTTAAGGCCTCGTTCTATCTGCCCAAAATCCGTATCGTTGGGTAAATAGCTGTGCCCAGATTCTAGGTACTTCAAAACAATCTTGTTTAGTGTGGGATGCTGTACTAACACCGTTTTCAACATTAATACTATTTTTATATTTCGATTTTGTCCCCCGCAGCTATCTGACCACAGTATTAACTCCTCCACTCCTTTTTTAAGATGCACCTCAACAAATTTTTTTATACAGGATCCCACCTCTTGAGCACCTCTCCCCGCTTCTCCTTCTTTCCACAGGAAACAGTAAGGAGTGTTTGACGATCCCGAATGAATACCTTCATTATAGATACTTAATTGCCTCTTGTAATAAACAATATTTGTTGGCAGTTTAGGCAATCCTAAAACCTTTTCCATGTCATAAGTAAGCGTTTCAAGAAGAGGATTCTGAACTGCTTCTTTTATGTCTTTATTCAATTCATTTCTGGCCAACTGCGCCCTTTGAAGGTGTAGGTCATGTTCTTCTTTTAACATTTGCTTTTGAGTTTCATCTTTTGCATTGTGTACTTGTGCAGAATACGCGTCGCACTTATTGCACGTATCCTTAACAGGAGGTTTTCGCTTTAAGTTAAAGTGCGTATAGAATATATTTTTATAAAATTGAAAACTGACTTTTGGGTTGTCATCTTCTATATAAAGTTCGTACATCTTTCTTTCTGTTAGGTCATAAGGTAAAAATTTTGCTTCAGTTTCAGAACGACAGTAATGAGAAACGTACGTAGGAAATTTTTTGATATGGTTAACAATTTTAGATATTGTTTCTTCACTAATTTTTTCCTTCCCACCTGAATTTCCTCGCTGATCTTTTACTGTAGCGGTGCGTTTTTTTGTTAGTGCCGTATTAATCCTTTTTGTGGATATTCCATAGGTTTTTATGTAGGTGTCACGACAAACTTCCATTTCTCCAAGTGTATACATTCTGGTGTATGATTTGCCAGGTCCTTCCTTAGCCCGTTTTCTTTTAACTGGTGCTTCTTTTACTGTTGCTCCAATGTAACTGGTCTGCAAGTCATACGAAGCTAAATCCCAAAACCTTTTAAACAACGATTCTTTTTCCTGTGCAGTTAATTTTTGACCACAATCTTTTATACATTTGCACTTGTAATTAACGAAACGTTTAGCTTCTTTTAAATCTCCCTTGACAGTATAGTGAGTTTTATTTGAGTCTTTTAGTCTTTTTCTGGTTGCGAAAGTTTGTCCTGGATATTTAGTGTGTCTTCCTTTCCTAGGTCGTCCCTTCCAAAGTTCTCGCTCCTCCTTTAACTTTTCTCTTCGTTCAAGTTCTTTTTCATTGAGTAATACTAACTCACTTTCATTTTCCTTTGAACTACTATCACTACTATCTTCCTCTGGTTCATAATCACGATCTTTAACACTATCATCTGAATATTCATCGAAGCTGACAGCATTATCAACATCAAATGCAGCTAAGTCGCCGGAATCTGAAGGATGTGAGGTTTGAATGGTTGGAACTTCCTCAACAATTACTTTTAGATTTGTGTTGAAAGGATTGTTCATTTCCACATCACTGACCATTTCTGAAATAGTTGTGATACGTCATGTTTTTAATAAGTATTAACAAATTAATGATGGAATCTAAAATACATTATAACTAAATGCGTATTTTTACCTGATATACTCGGGTTGAGAGGCTGATTAATTTCTTTAAGTGGATTTTTTAAAACTAATATTTGGTTTACTATTATTTTGGGATTTTCTTTAGTAGTTGCTGATTGTTTATAATGTTGATCTGTATATTCAAGCTCTTCATATGATTCCTAAAATCATGAAAAAATGTAGTAAAACAATAGCGTTAAAACTAATATTTAAAACGAACCAAGCGCCATACATGGTGCTTGGTCCCCTTTATAAGTATAGTATTTTTGTTTAAGAGAAAGCAGAACAATATATGCTGGGTGTCGAAAAGTAAAAAATTTTTACAACAATTAAAAGGTATTAAGTAACTTTGTACGTTAACAGTGCACACTTATTACAAAACGGAATAACGCAGAAAATTATAACCTAAAAAGTAATGTACTCGTACATACCTTACTGCAATCTCCCAATTTTAATTTTTTTGACTCTTTGCTACACTCAGTAATTGCTAACGCCGTCTGTAGTATCTTTTTCGACCTTCCACTCATTTTTAAAAGTAATAAAAACTTAGTTTTACACTGGCTATTAAAAAATGTAAAGCGAACCATGCGACAAGTATCGTTTTCTATAAATGGTATCGTTGCATGGATCCTTTTCAATAAACAGAAAACTGTCCTTTGACTATATGTCGCTTGAGTCTTTATCCCATAGATGTCACTACGGTTTAAATAGGTAGTTGGTACCTTTCACATAATGTATAATGCATATCAAACTGTCGCATAGCACCACAATCCTGATTATTGAAATTTGGTGGATGGTTCCTTTTCAATTAGCATCATCCAATTTACGTTATAAGACCAACTAAAACTTTATCCGGGGTATTATTACAGGAAGGCTCGTTCCGGGCGAGCGCGAATTTACATTCGCAGCGTCTACCGAAATTTTACAACAGGTATATTTTAATTCACGGACGGTAACTGGGAAAGAGCACGATCCTACAATCGCCGACTCTAATTCAGGGACAGGCAATTTCAATTAATGGCACGGCTATACGGCCGTACACGTTTAATTCAGGGACGGTAACTGGGGTTTGAGACACGGTCCTACAACCGTCATCTCTAATTCAGGGACAGGTAACTGGTGAGATTCACGTACGGTAACGGGGAAAGAGCACGGTCCTACAACCGCCGACTCTACTTCAGGGACAGGTAACTGGTGAGGGTGAGAGTGAGAGCGGTGTTACAACCGCCATTCCGGGAATGGGACTGTGGTGCTTAGGACCAGGGCAAGATCTAAGACCTAAGACCCCCTTTCTGGTTTGGTTTCTACTTTTATATCGTTTGGAAGGAAGTGGGAATGTAATGGTGATGGTAATGGTACTGGTGGGAATGTCAACAAGCATGACGTCTCCGAAACTACCGCCCTCTCCTGATAGAAATTTAGATTAATTTCAGATTCCTACAGGAGTCAAATTACAAATTTATCTTATTAAATTTCGCATCATTACAATACAGCCTTCTTTAATTTTCAACCAGATTTCCATTTGTCTTAACTATAATTTCGATTGCAGGTGTTAATAATTTCATCAAATATACCTACCTACTGATCTAATTTATGTAATTTAAATTCCTGTAGATATCCCCTCATCAACAGTAATCCGTACATGATACTCTTTATAAATCTGCTAGAAGTGTAATTAAAAACATTTAACGAATGCAAAGAAATGATAATCGTTTAAATCCCAAAACGGCGCTATTAAATACGGCTGACGTGGATTAAGAAGAACGGCTTGGATTATGGAGTTTTAGTACGTTTTATGCGACATATCCCGGCCCGACAGTCGTTATATTCCTTTTGACTCTTGCGAAGCACGACACCGAAAAGGATATTTCTCGAATTACAGCTACTGTGCGCCATTTGAATTATTTATTTCTTATCTTGAAAGTGCACACAAACCAAACAAAGGGGTTTTATTACTTTCGCTCGCGCGTACATTTTGGATTTGGACCGCAACTTTTCCATTACGTGATTGATCTCGAATTAATGACCGCTCTTTATTGCACTGGAAAGGAGAAGAATTAGAAAGCCGAACTCAATAATCAGCGAACTTATCAGGCGATTATGCCAGGACCATGTGGGTCTTGTGTCATGACTGATGTACTCCGTTGGGGATTGTGACACATCTTTAAACGCCTATATTACAGTGATTGCTTAGAATCCTGCTGATTCTGGAATCTACTCTTTTTTAGTCATTAAGTATGATACATTTGTCTTTCATTACCTTATTTATTTACATAATTGAAGTCGAAACAATACAACAAGCACTTTGCCTATCGAAGAATAATTATAATTATTGTATGTTATAAGTAACATTTACAGCATATGGTGTGAATCAGACTCCTTCCGTTGCGTACCGGTTGACGGTTGTGTAGCCACTTCCTCGCACCTTGTTCGAAGTAGCCGTTGTCGGTTCTGGAATTTTGCGTGATGGTTACCAGGAACACATTTTTAATAACTGATTTATGGAGTTGCGTATTATTTATTCGACGTCGTTGTTAACATTGGAAATGTATGTTCGTGTATGGGTATAAAGTTACAAGTTTCGTTGTTGTGTCTACCTTTCCAGAAACTGTACTGATCTTGAGTCACCCTAACGTGCGGCCCTAAATAAACGACCACTATCCCTGAAAACCTCGCTTGCATAGAATAAATTTTCACCTCGACGGCACTGGAAAAAATTTTACTGCTAGCTCAGTAATGTGTAAACTTTTAATGACCTTACAAACAGTTGGTTCTTTATTTCCACTTCTGCATCTGAAAATTAAAACCTGATGCTCTGGTTTGAACACTCCTGTGAATTGGATTGCTTGAATATATCAATGAAAATATCGTTCCAACTCCACTTTTGTTTACATTGTCTGTGATTTAATATATTGATGTAATTCTTTCAACAAATTTTAGTTAAAAATGTTTGCCCTATCTCGTGATCACGTTCTAAATTTAATTATTTATCTAGGTGTTTACTATTTGTAATTAATCCAGTACATGGTAGATTTTCCCATTCAAAAATTTACACGCATTTGGATGCTAAATAAATACAAATCTGTTCACGGAAAGAAATTCCATAGGTCGACCTCTTCAGGAATGTTAAAAAATCCTCAAAAGGACCGACTCCTATTTTTGCACAATGCAAAAAATTCAAATAACTTACATTTATCGATAAGGTGAACATTTCTCCAAGTTACAGTCAAAATTCGGCAAATGTGAAGGTGGAATGTCTTGTGCAATGCAATTGAACCCTTTGTATCGCCTGGTAAATGTGACTGCTCGGTGAAAGTCCAGTCAAATTAGCTTTAAAAGTAGTATAAACTGGATGTTGTAATTTCACTCAACGAAACCAAGTGTATCCTATGTAAAAAAATCCACTGAATCGGAAAATCATAGTCCCCCTGGCCGGAAACTCCCGGAACATATTGTTATTAACAAAAAACGAAGAAAAACTGAGAAAATGTCGTGTTTTTTCGCATTTGACTTCGAATATCTCGTTAACTATTGCTCTGAGGGAAAGAATGAATAGAAATGAACTTGTTTAGAATAAAATGTTCTATAAGATATAGTTGGTCCGGAAAGCTTATTTTCAACTGTTATTGTTTTTTGTGGCAAAATGTAAAAAATGAATCTCTAAAATAAAATTAACAGTTTGTTATTACCAAGTAAAATTCATCCGATCTTTTTGAAAATCCGGATTTAGTAAGATTTTATCCTCGCGTGCTCGAGTTACATAGTTTCGCCTCGAAAGTTCGAAGAAAAATCTTTCTCTCTCTCCCACCCAATTTTTACATATTATGTACTCGCCGAGCCCGAATAGTGAAACGACCCCAACGCAAAACAAGCTTCAGCTTTTATACATGTAAAATGTATAGCAGAAAATCCGTCTGTCATGCTCCGTGAGAACGGTCTTTAAAACCGGCAACACTGTGGACTTGATGATTCTTATCTGCTTGTACACTCGTTGCATATTTGAAACTGCTACATTCTCTCGCGTTTTTGTTTTGTTCTCATTCACTATGAAGCGGTACACGTATAAAATGTCCTATATTGGTAAATTTGTAAATTCAAAGTCAAATCTTTATAAGCTCAAAGCGACCACCTGTTACATCAATCTGATTTAATAGAGCTATGGGTCGAACCCAAGGATGCTAGGTCGGACCGGATTTTTTCCTGCCTTGATATGAGAATCTCCTTACCTCCCTACCAGTATGCTCACCTCTGCTCTCTTCACCTTATGAATGAGTAAATAAATTGCTAGGAGACAATGGAGCCAAGGTACAACGGCTGAGTTTCAACAATTTACATTAGTTTGAAGTGTTTTTGTAAAGCACATGATATTGTGGTCTTGATCAGTAAGAACCAGAGGTACAGATTTAGTAGCAATCCCTTTCATTCCATATTCGTCTTCTACAATTGCTGAATGCCTAGTTTTTAAACAGAGGACTTTTTTTCCCATAGATCATCTTTGTAGGTGGTTATAAACATTCCAAAGGAACAGTTTCTTTAACATTTTAGAAAAGCACTATAAAAAATGCACGGCAAACAAATCAGGAGGACGATTCAAGCAGTAATGAAATTATGTCACCTAATACTGACGGTGGAACAGTTATTCTCACTCACTGAACTTAATTGTTGTGGCGATTAAGATTTTATCACCACATTCAACGAGTCACGTTTAGAGTTTCGAAGAAATGTGGCAACGTCTCCGTTGAAAGTTGGTGTGCCCGCTCTGTCCCTTCGGTTCCTACGTCCCTGATAAATATGGTTTTAATTTCGAGAGAGTGAGAGAGAGATATTTATGAAAAACAATGCAAGGCACATTGTCTCTGTTAATCCTAGTTTTCACAGATACGAATTTCGTATCTCTCCTGCGAATGCGTACCTACTTACGAAATTTCGTATACCTACATACAAAGATTTCTAATTATGTAATTAGAAATTGGAGGATACTTAAAATACGTTACAATTGGGATATCGCCTCGAGCAAAATATCCAAATGTAATAAAAATTTACCTCCGAACTTGTAACAACAGTAAAGAATTTCTTTTGTGGTTGAACCCTTTGCTTTTCTTTTTTGTAAAATTTGAAATGCATAATTTGTCATTTTTAAAAATAGCTTAGGTTTTCAATATGGCATATGGCTTTCTTTTCTCTACCGCTTCCTTTTAAATCACATACCAGAATTAATTAATTGATCAAAATCAAAGTCTAATTTCAACGAAATAATTAAATTAGTTAAATTAATCGATCAATCAGAGTGCTAGTTCACGAAATCAAAACCGCAATCAGAAACCTAATCAAATTAAAAAACCGAAAATCAAATCGGCCAATTTTATTTAATTGAAAGTTTTACGCCTCCTATACACTAATAAAAATCATAAATGTTTTATAAATCGAATCGATCGTACTCTACGTATCATCTATTATGTCAATCATAATCAAATCTGTTATTTTATCGTCATTCGATAAACGCGACTGAAATTGACGGGTTTCACTTACACTAAACCATATGAAAATGAAGCACGATTTTTTTGCATACATATCTTCCGGCGTATATACATATAAAGCGCTTATTAAAATTTGAAAACTTTGTACAATGGAAAATTTACTTTACAACTGGCTTTAGAAAGAAATTGAGCATAACCTCTCGGATGTAAAAAAACTTCGTAAGGTGGAATCGATAAAGTGATTTAATTTACATAAAGAGAGCACCAATAACAATTTCATGCCTCTATTAACGTTACTTTGAGAATTACGCTAATTGGTACTGTTAAAAAGGGACTCGTAATTTTACTTTCAAAACTCGCCTTCTTTTTTAATTTGCTTTTTTGAGTATATGTTTAGAAATTTGGGATGCCTGATGGAAAATGCGTACTTTCAACGTATAAAAAGGGGTAAAATGTGGTCAAAGCTTGCGAGGTTTTTCATGGTTTAAATCTACATTTACTATATGAAATTATAATTATTATATAAAGTACGTTTCTTTTTAAAGCTTCTCTGTGAATTAATGTCTAACTTGAAAATTAGTAGATTGTGACTTGCACCTCAGTTTACAGACCTAATAGCTAATTGAACAAATATACGAACCAGCACTACGGAAACGGGTTATAATATTAATGCCCCCCACCTACCACCTTATGTACAGTTTCAATTACCGTCTAAAGCTAAACGTAGGGGGTGCTCGCCTCACTCTTGTCAGAGTGCTGGGGTATAACTTGTTTAATTAGTGATAATTGAATCTCCTTCAGATTCTACATAACCCTTTTTATAAGAACGTCATTAATGAGCAAGTCGAGCCAGCGAGGTAAAAAGACTTGATAAGACATGCATATTATAAAAACAACTTAATTTTGTTAAAATACCGTTCAAAGGATGCATTTGAATGTAGCTTATACCAAATACTTGAACCAAACATCGTATAATCCAGTTAAATTATATTTTTACCAGGAAAGTTGTGGGGTAGTTTTGATTTCTTTGATTCTATATGTTTTTTGGGGTGCTAAAAGATTCAATTATTTAGTTTTTTTCCTCGAAGAACCGTTCGGGTTCAAGCGCCAGTTGAAAATTGGCGTATTTCGGCTGCCTCCACAAAACATAGTTTTTTCGCACTAAAACCCTAAATTAATATTAAGGGTCGTCAATAAGTGAATTCCTTGCATTTACCTACTATTATTTGAACTTTATATGTCAGGGTGATTTTTTTTCATTTACATAACGTTAAAGGTGTTAATTAGCCCAGAATTGTATGAAAAGTTAATTTCTAACGAAAAACGGTATATCATATTATTATATTATTTATAATATATAATACTTATACTGTGCTATCTAAAACTATTCCCACTCTCTTCCGAACCAGATGAAGAAATTACACCTACCGTAGCATGTTTCAATAATTATTGTTGAATTTGGAAAAGTGGCGCTGTGGTCATTATTAATTTAAAAAACTCAAATTACAAAAGGGGTATATTGATTTCCTATTTAACGGCATTATCCCTCTTGCCCCGGTGTTCTGAAGAATCACGTACACTTTCAGTTTTATAGTTCCCAACATACCATCCAGATCGTGTAAACATCTTTCTTCAGTCTGTTCTTGGTTTCCTTGTGCAGGTCCTTCTTCGTGAAATTCAATGCTGCATTCCGGGGGCTCGACATTTTCACACAACCCTTCACAATATGTGCAGATCTGGGAGCAATAGAGGCCCGTCTTTCTGCATCCGCAATTGCGTTGGCAGCCTTTTTTTACATTTACAAGAAATTCGTCATAGGATTGAGTCCGGTGCAGGATTCAAAGTTGTTGGCACTGACACAAGACCACTTCCTGTTTTTTTCCAACCCC